ATTTATAGACGATGAAAGCAGGGTTATCAAAACGCACTTTCATTTCATAGACAGTATTCTAGTCTTCCTCACGATGATCATAGAGAATGTCGAAGCCCTGAAGTCGTGGCTGGCAAAACTCCTGGAGCCAATGTGAGTGTTGAATCGAAATGACATTTAGCTTGCATGCTACGTAGCTGCGTTAGCGCGCTAGCCAGTGGGGGTTAGCGAGGCATCAATGGGAGGCTTGCTACAGTCTGCTGGCAAATTCTCACACGAGTTAGCTCACCACCATTGCCGCTAGCTGACTTTTCGTGGCCAGGAGAGGCAGTGGGGCTTCACTTTGACTCGCTAGCTGCAAGGGAATTTGGGTGCGTTTGTTGCACTGTTTTTTTTTTTGCGGGTTAATGTTGGTTAGGCACGTTGTTGGCCAGCGATAATGTGACTTTATTACAGCTCTGTGGCGAGACACCAAGCTGCAACAGATAGCCACAACTTGTATGCTGCTACCTCTTAAAATAGTTGAGAAGTGATGAATCTGTTGGGCTATATCGAGCACTACGCTACTAAGTTAAACACTTAGTTTTTTATAAATATAGCTGTAAGGGATTGTTCTCTCTGGGTTACCATAGTTACACACACTCTTTGACTCTTTTCTCCCTCTGTTTCAAATGTAAATTGACCAGATGACTTTGTAATTACAAGAGGGTTGCAGATGTTGCCAGAGAACTCGCTTGACCACATTGATGGATTTGAATATGCAGCAGTGATTAAAAAGGAGCTGCTGAGTTAAAAGTGGGAGACTGTGTTGCTGTAATAGTTCTCTTAAGAAAAGGGACCTCGTTAAATTAACTTTACTGAAAGAGTTTTCAGACTTTCTTTTTATTTATTTTTTAGCATTTTCTAATTATAAGTAGCTTAGATTCAGGCGCAGTAATGTCCTATTCAACAAATCCTTAAGCACATTTGCAATTCCTGTGTTCATTCACTTGTTAATGTGTGATCAGTGTGTTTGCCTGGTCAGTGTTTTGGTCTGTTATTTTATATTATCTGGTACACTGACCGCATTGGTTTGTTAATGTGAAATGGAAGCAAAGTTAGTTTCGATAGTTTGCAGGTATGTCCGTATATTTGTCATTTAGCTGTGTAGTTAGTTATATATTAGCTTGGAGTTGTCGAGAGCAATATCTTGGGGCTTTGTGTGTCTGCATTGTTTCTGTGATAGCCACACCTCTTTGTGGCTGAGAGGACTTTTAGCGTAATCTGTTTTTAAAAGTTTTGAAGCTGTTTTGTGAAGTTTTTGTAGTAATGTTCTGCTCTTCAAGCCCTGTAAAGGGTCTTACTTACTATTCACTACTACTGTTTTGACACCACTAAACAGTGCACCTCACGGACCTACAGTATGTTGCAGTGGATTTAATTAATGCGCCCCTGTTTCACCATCTAAAATGCATATATTTTAACCTGCAGATGTGATGCTGACCCTTCTGCATTAGCTAACTATGTGGTGGCTCTTGTGAAGAAGGACAAACCGGAGAAAGAGCTGAAAGCGCTGTGTGCTGATCAGCTTGATGTCTTTCTACAAAAAGGTACGAACACAAAGCTGCTCTGCCGGTGTGAGTGAATGCAGAAGGCTTTCCTCCAGCAGCAATTTCTATAGTTCAGCTATGAAGGGAAAAACATTGCTTTTACTGCAACGGATAATAGAGGCTTTGCAAACATGTCACAAATCCTCTTGGGAGTTCACATCACTGAACTGATTATTTGTGAATAGTGACACAATTTACGAGGAAAGAGCTTCAGGTAAACATATTGATTGTAAACAAAGTAAATTAGAGGTTATTATTTTTTAAAGAGAAAGAAGGTTCAGTCAGAAACATCAAACAATCTGTCTGATTAGGCAATCAGCTGTACATCACCATCTACCACTTGTGGGTCCTCAGTATGGCCACCAGAGGGCGTGTTAGAGCATTTGAAATTACTTTTCCCCCTCTAATGTCTCCAGCCTATAACATGAAGCATCAACGTGTTTAGCTTGAGTTGAATGGTTGACATTATTTAATGGTATCACTTTGAACCCTCAGTATAACCACAGAACAGCAATAATATGTTATAGCAATTACAATCACATGTTGTCAATTCAGGGTTTTAAAAATGACAGTTTGGTTCTTAGCCCTTGCAACACCACCTTAGCCACTTTTACCATTCCTGCACAATAGCACAGCACACAAAGGGACTTACTAAAGAACTAAACCATCACAACCTGTAGTTTTTAACATATAATACTTAGATTGCAGTCAAATAATTGGTTTAAATTACTTCCTTTAATGTACTTTTCATAAATAATATATTACATTATTGTATAAATATTTATTATATATATAGTTTTTTTTTCTGTTTAATGTCTATGCTGTTTCTGTGTTATTCATTTGGTCTGTGTTAGACTAAATGATATATTTAGCGCAGCCAGAAGCAGAGAATTATTTAGTGTAGTGTGATTCAAGAGGAATCTCGGAACATTTCTTGCCTCAGGGCCAGTTTGCTCTTTGAGGTGCAATAGGCAAAACTGCACATAGTTCAAGTGAAAATTTTTGACCAGTTCACATAATTAATTCATTTTGTTATTGCAGAAACAAATGGATTTGTCGATAAACTTTTTGAATGTCTGACAACCAAGAACTACCTGGGAATTCCCGCTGCCAAGGAAGCTCCTAAAGAGGAGGTCAAACCACCTGCTGTCAAATCTGATGTTGTTGAGGTAAGAAGAGTTAGTGATATATTGTAGATAAGTAGGTTGAGCATTGACTCAAAAAATGGTGATGCTCTTAGTGTACGGGACTTTGGATCAAATAATTTGATAGAAATTTAATTGTGTGTTATAGGATGCTGCATTTTTTCAGGTATGTTGACTCAAAACCATTCTCTCTAGACTGTGAAAATCTTTGTAGTTGTAAATCTTCTGTTTTAAAAACAAAATGGAGAAGAGTTTAAGTCAAGTAATTGTTTTTTCCCTCAAGGCTGAAACTCCAGAGGAGGAGAGAGAAAACAGGCGGAGGAGAAGTCCTCTGAGAAACCGCTCTGACTTCAATGAGTCCAGGTATGGCTTATGCAGATACTGTTCTGACACGTTAGACATATAGCATTTTTATCCCTTTCTCATGCTGACATTTTCAATGCACAGGACCCTGTTGTACCTTGCACTTCATACTGCTGATTAAAAAAAAAAAAACCATCATTTTGCATAGTAGAGTTGTGTAGAGATCTTAACATGTGGATACATTTGCATGGTTAGTTTGAAATCCCACGAGTACTCCTTTTAGCCCAGGTGTCAAGTAGTCTGTCCCTCGTCTATAACTCTCCTAGTCAATAACAGGTAGGACAAAACAGAACCTGTAAAATGCAATCAAAACAACAATTAAAGGAAAGGGAGTATCTAGAAATGCTGTAGTACCGTAATTTCCGGACTATTGAGCGCACCTGAATATAAGCCGCACCAACTAAATTTAAAAAGAAAAAAAATTTGTACATATATAGGCCG